TCCAAAGTCTCAGCTTTGAAAAGCAGATGGCGAGGCTCGGGCTTTATTGAATTTGCGTTTCTGTATGTGATGCATTTGACTGTAGCCTGAGGGCAGCTGTCTGGCCCAATAGCGAGTTTGGCCCATCAATAAGGCTGAAACCTACTTACCTGCAAGAAGCTCTCTGTTCCAGGGAAGGGGTTTTGTATCTGCCGGGTGGCTCACGGCTAGCAGCGGCCTCTCCTCCTGGACCTCAGGACGCAGTGGCATCTGGGAGGAAGCCCTGCTGCCTCTGGCCCCCCAGTTTTAGTTCTGGGGGCTGGCCCTAAGGAAGCACAGGCGCAAGTGTGCGAGGATGGATGTGCGTGATCACTGACTGCTCTGTCGTCACCACTGGTTTAAGTGAACATGCAGATGCCCGAATACTGACCAGGAGGGAGTGGGTTCTGTTAGCGCGCAGTCCCCCAAGGGAATGTCGAGAGTTACGGAGCGGAGAGAGGCCGTGTGCCCAGCACCCTTGGAGGCAGACACCGCTGCTCCGTGTAGCCTGTGTCCCCAGTGGGACCGTGGGTGTCAGCAGGCACTCTGGCCAGGTGAGAGCTCCACTGAGCCGGCCAGATGCAGCCTTGCAGGCCTGTCTCAGATCTGACCTCCAAACCCACCCTGCCTCAAAGCGGGTCGGGGGCTGGGGTGGTCTGGGGCCCTCTGACCTTCAGGCTGGGGTCACCATTACTTGGCTGTGGCTTAAGGAACGGGGGAAGATCAGAGGGTCCTGGGCTGGATGGCACCTGCTGCCCTGCGGTTGGTGGGTCAGCTGAGCTGCTGGGGTCCCGAGCTTCAGGGCCTGTGACCTTCAGGGTGTGGCCTCTGACCTCTGAGCCAGGGTAGAGAGGCTGGTCATCCAGTTGTCTTGACCGCTGCCTGCAGGCTTGCTGGTCAAGGCTGTCGTGTGGGTGGGCAGGGCCTGCGTGGAGCCCTGGGGGTGGGGTGGGTCTCAGCTTCTGACAGCCCCCATCAGCGCTTCTCAGCCCACTTTCCACGCTGCCATCAGCTAGACTGCTGGAGTTTCCGGGGGCGGGGGGCGGAGGGCACTGCCTGCAGCCGCCATGGGGTGACTGGGGAGTGGCCCGGCCTGGCCTGTCTGGCTGAGGCCCCACTCTGGCCTCAGTGGCCCCACTGGCTCCAGCCTGGCTGTTGGGGAGCCGGCCTCACATGGCAGAAGCCATGGGGATTACAGTTCCAAGGATGACAGTGTCAGAGAGAAGCAGGAAGGCAAAGGGCTTATTAAAACACCGAAATCGGTTCCAAATGAGGTCAGCCATCGAAGCACTTTGGAGGAGAGCCAGGCGCTGCGTGGTGAACTGGTGTTTATTCCTGACAGGGTGGCGGAAGCGCCCCGGGGTGCCACCCCACCCTCCACTTCTGGAGGGCAAACTGCACCCGATCGCCAGAGTGGAGCCAGGCTGGGGGGACGGGAGTGGAAGCAGGGGGCAGCGGGAGCCCCCATCCCACCCTGAGAGCACATGGAGAGGGAGCCAGCGATGCGTCCCGGGGGGCGGGAGGGGGGGCGCTGTCCAGAGGACGCCTGGGCATCTCACCGACACAGCCGGGGCAGGAGCGCTGAGCACTGCTTCCTTATTCCGGGTCAGATTGCTTGTTTTTTAAAAATCCATTAATGCAAGGAGCGGCACATCGCGGAGGAGGCCTCCGGATTGGACCAGCTCTCTCCCACCCCCGCTGGCCCAGAGCCGCCTCAGCGTTTCTCCCTGCTTGCATTTCTGCCCCCAGCATCCCTTCCTCCTGACTCCAGTGGAATTTCCCTGACCTTGGCTGCCTTGAGTGCAGCCCCCCTGGCCAAGAGTGCGCGGGGCACCAGGCAGACCCTGCCCCCAGCGGGGCGTGGCTCCCCTCTCCTGGGCATCATCTCGTGTCCGAGGTCGGTCTCAGACCTGTGCCCACGGCTGCTGGGGCTGAAATGAAACAAGCAGGTGAAGGGACGGCCGTGAACACGATTTCCAGCTCAGGTTAATTACTAGTGCAGGCAATTCTCGTTTCTGAAGTCAGCCGAATCCTTTTTATCAAACACAACTGGGAGGTCAGCATGCCAGCCCGGCTCTGAGTGGAGACAGAACGTCTTCCGATTACTGTTAAAAGTAAACACGCGGGCACAGCACTGTGCTGTGTACTGAGAGCCATGCAGACCTTGCTTCCTCGGCTCTCCAAGCAACTGTTGCTCTCACCGCATCCAGAGAGGAGAGGCGTCTGCCTGGGCTCTCCCCAACCCAGGGCTCCTGACCTATCCTGGGCTCTGGCTCCCAGGCTTCACACCTCTATGTCCCCCTGGAACCACGAGGTGGAAGGGGGGCGGAGGGATAAACTACTGATAGCTGCAGATAGGCGCGCGTCTGGGTGGGAAAGCGCTTCTGTGTGAAGGTCCAGCCGGGACTCGGCAGGGGTGCAGCGGGCTTGAGACCAGAGCCCCCACCCCTGGGTTTGAGGCCTTGGGGGTCCCGCTACTCCGGGTGGTCAGGGGTGGGTGGGGGGTAGTACCCACTCTTTCTCTTCTGGCCAGAGCCACGCAGATGGCCAGGAGGCTCACCCGGAGCCAGGGCTGCCGTGGAGCCCGGTCGCCCTCACTGCACCTGCTGGCTTTGTCTGTGTGCCCACTGGGAGCAGGGCGCCCGCCCCAGCAGCCTGTCTCACCCCCTTGCCGCGGCTGTTCCCTAGATGTCCAGTCAGTGGGTGTCTGAGTGATCTCAGAGGCTCTCCGCCTGCCCCCCCAGCACAGATGAGGGGGTTTTGGCAAAATTTTAGAGAACGAGGCAGTGCCCCGAGTGGTGGGGCCTCCGGAGCCTGCCTGGTGGTCTCCCCTGGCCTATGCCCTCCTGTCTTCCATGCAAGGGATCGTGACCGAAGGCCTTTGCAACTGATCCTGTCTCCTGGCACCCCTGGGGCCACCCCGTCCGTGGAAACCCCGTCCTTCCAGGCTCTAGCTGAGTCTCTGCCCTTCTCCAGAAAGCCCGCCCACCGCCCCAGGCTGCAGGCCTTCCCTGGGGTTTGTCCTGTCACTGGAGCCAAGGGTCTGCGGCCTCCAGGGCCCGGGGGGGCCGGCTCTCGCGGCCTGTGATCCGTCAGCATCTTTCCGCAGGCCCAGGACGCAGGCCAGCGGTGGCGGCGTGTGCCCGTTCGTGAGTTGGTGCGCACGTTGGCAGATTCACTCACCCTGCACCCCACTCTGATGCTGTGCTGCCTCGGGGAACGGGCCCGGCGGGGGGCGGCCCCGAGAACAGCCTTGTGGTGTCAGCACCGTGAGTAGCGTGTCCTGGAGCACCCCAGCCCATGTACAGTCAGGGAGGGGGTCCTGGGGCCTCTTGTAGCAGCTTTCTCTTCTCGCCCTGTTTGCAGGGGGGCCCGGCTGCCATGAGGAGAGCCCACCACCCACCAGGTCCTGGGAGGGGAGCTTGCTCAGGATTTTGCCTTCAGGCAGACACAGTCACCCCTTCCTGAAGAACAGAGTGCAGAGCAAGAGCAGGGCCAGACGCTGCAAGCTCCAGGCCGGCCTTTGTCGCTCTTTGAGGGCTTGTGGATACCTGGGGCGATGTTGTGGATGTTGAGGATGTTGCTCAGGTTCTTGGTTTTGCCAGAGAGAGGAGGAACTGGAGAAGGAAGAAAGAAGGGAGTCAGGTTCCTGGAAGGAGGCAGCCAAGTTCAGAGCAGAAGGCAATCAGGGAGAACTTCGCAGCGCCGGTAGCTCATGCCCAACCCACTCTGCACGAAGGACTGGGTGAGCCGCTCTGCAGAGACTGACACTTCAGCTCAATGGAGTGTGAGTCCCAACGGGCCTGTGCAAAGGCCCTGTGGTGTGTGCAGGAGAAACACTGTCATAGGCTGCCTGCCCTGGGAGGCTTCGAATTCAGACTGGGTCCACTCCAGGCTAAACGACACTGGGTGTTGGGGCTTTGGGAACAAGGAAGCAGGCCTGTTGCTCGCACCCCTTTCTGAAGAGTCTGCAATCTGCCGCTCCGCAAGGCATCGTCAAGAAGTCTGCTCCCCGGCAACGTCCCCTGCCGTCCGGGCTCCCCAGAAGCCCACCTGCAGCCTGTCCCCCGCCACCGCCAGCATGCCACTGGGCCATCTGCCCCTGCCCCCAGCAGCACACCCACTCCTTCAGGAGCAGCTGTGGCGCCAGCTGGAGCCTGTGGGGAGACAGGGAGCAGACAAAAGTGGCAGCAGCAGGCCCGGAGAGAGTGTCTAAACACAGGGACTATTTGGGGATCATCTCTTATTTTTAGTTTGAAGTTGGTCCGCCCTCCAGGGTTGTAGACATGGCTCCCTGGGCCTGCAACAGCGAGGTCTCTTTTCTCGCTGGTCACTTTAGAAATAGGGCTTTCCCTGTGGTTCAGTGGTAGAGAATCCGCCTCCCACTGCAGGAGACGCGGTTCGATCCCTAGGCAGGGAAGAACCCCTGGAGCAGGAAATGGCAACCCACTCCAGGATTCTTGCCTAAGAAATCTCACTGACGGAGGAGCCTGGTGGGCTTAGAGTCCATGGGGTTACAAAGGGGTCAGACGTGACTTTGCCAGTAAACCACCACCACCACAACCTTGGAAATAACCCCGCGGAGCCTCAGTCTGCCCATCCACGAACTGGGCGGCACGGGCCCCGCCTGCCAGCCGTGCGGGGACAGGCCCCGGCAGCCAGCCTGGTTGTCAGCCCGGTGCCCGGCCGGAGGGTGCCCGCAGGGAGGAACCCTTCCTGGATGGCTCTCGGGGACCGTTCAGAGGGAATGAAATCAGCCCGTCTGTTTCGATTCCCGCTGATGATGTCCATGAGTCATTAGTGCCAATTAGGAGAAACGAGGGCAGAAAAGCTTTTGGCCTGGGGGCCCGGGCTGGTGGGAGGGTCTCTGGGACAATTGAATTCCCCACCAGACAAATGTGATTACCGGTGCAGCCGGGGCCCACCTCCCCGGGGGGCCCAGGACATAAATGGCCAGGTGGGGCAGCCGCGCTCACCCAGCCATGCAGGTCCCCAGCCCCAGCGTGCGCGAGGCGGCCTCCATGTACGGCACCGCGGTGGCCGTCTTCCTCGTCATCCTAGTGGCCGCGCTGCAGGGCTCGGCCCCCGCCGAGAGCCCCTTTCCCTTCCACATCCCCCTGGACCCCGAGGGGACCCTGGAGCTGTCCTGGAATGTCAGCTATGCGCAGGAGACCGTCTACTTCCAGCTCCTGGTGCGGGAGCTCAAGGCTGGCATCCTGTTCGGGATGTCGGACCGGGGGGAGCTGGAGAACGCCGACCTGGTGGTGCTCTGGACTGATGGGGACAGCGCCTACTTCGGGGTGAGTCCTCTCCCCACCCCAGCGCCCCCACCCCTGCCCCTCTCTGCCCTCCCGGACCCAGCAAAGAAAGTCACCCTCTCGCCTCTCTGGTCCCCTGTATCTGAGCACCCCTGTGTCCCAAGCTTGGGCGTCTCGGATGCCGATGTGAGCTCAAGATGGGCAACAGGTGGCTTCCCTGATGGCCCGGCGCGCCCAAGAAGCGCAGCAGCCCAAGATGGAGGACTCGCTCACCACATAAAGCAGCCTCTCCACACCTCCCCGTCGCCCTTGGGAGGGCGGCCCCTGCCCCCCGACCTGCACAAACAACGCGCAGAGCTCACACGCACCCGAGTGTGGGGCCTGGCCTGCCCCGCCTGGGGCGTGGTGCCTCACACGTGGGTGACCCGAGCACCTGGCCCGGAAGGGACCATCCGCCCCGAGGTGCACACTTCACTCCACACCCCAAATTCACCCTCAGTTCTTGCTGGAAAGGGTGGGGGGCAGGGAGATCTCCCGTCAGAGGAGAGGGGCTTGGGGGCCCTGGACAGACTGCAGAGGGGCCCCCCGGGTGGGGAGAGCCCAGCCATCCTGCCCCGAGCACTGCTGCACTTCTACTCCGACCTCTCCGGGGGCCAAACCAGCTTTCTCGGGGAAACAGACCCGGGAGAGCTGAAACCGTGTGGAAGTCAGGAGGCACTCCATCTGTGAGCAGAGGGGCTCTTATTTCGTGAAGGGTGGGAATCCGGCAGGACCCGTGGGCCAGGCTCAGGAGAGGCCTCCCCGCCTCCTGTTCCCCATCTGCAGAGCGGGTACAATTCTCCCTCTCCACTTTCTCGGGATGAGGGGCTTCACACGAGCTGACGCCCTTGGCTGATCTTTCTGGAACCCCGGGGGGTGCTCCGTCCACGCCCCACCACGACTCTGCAGGCAGGAAGGAGCTTTGCCCACGTCGCTGGGAGGCAGGAGGCTGGGCGAGCCTGACCACCAGCCGGATGGGATGGGGGCCACTGGCTCTAGGCCTCCCGCCTCCCCCGACGAGGAAGCTCAGTGGCGCCAGGTCACGGCCCAGGAAGACCGGGGCAGCGCGGCTCCAAGCCGGTCCCAAGGGAGCAGCGAGCCCCAGGCCCAGCTTCCCTGGCTGCCAAGAGAACTGGGGTGACTTTCGCATCCTCCCGCACAGGCAAGATTAATTTGCACAACAAATTCCTATGCAAACAAATGTCAAGCTTGTTTTTCCTCCTTTAGCAATATGTTCAACAAATACATTCTAGATTTCCAGCTGAAGGCTCACAGGCTAAGTTTCTGCTTCTGTTTGAACTGAGTCCTGCAGATCCCCGGCATCCCCCAGCAGGAGCTTCGTCACGGCGCTTTTCTCCAGGGGGGAGATTTGGCAAAATCTTTCGTGGGTTTCTTTTTTTTTTCCTCAAGGAAATGAAGAAAACGTGCCGCAGCCCTGAATGCAGGGTTTGAAAGCATCTGAGGCCGAGGACCGCTGGTCCCGTGCTGCTCCTCACCTGCTGGTCGGGGCAGGGCCTCCCTCGCAGCTGCCTGGCCCGGGGGCTGTCTTTGGTGCCCTGGCCTGGAGCCCCTGGGTGGCCGGGCCTTAGAGATGGGTGCCAGGAAGCAGCTGGGGGGAGGGGAGGGGAGGGTCTGGCCAGAGCCCCCGCCCTTGAACATCCTGGGGAAAGGCAGTGTGTCTGTTTGCGCCAGGGCCCCAGCTTACCTTCTCCAGGCAAAGCTGGGACTCGGGTGAGGTGGGCAGGTGCAGTGTTTCAGATGGTCTCACTCTGGCTGGTGCCCATTGCCAGCGTCTCTCTCTCCCCCTGTTCTCCACATCTCCCCTCTCCAAGGCTCCGTGTGCTATCAGGCCCCTGCCCCCCAGACCAAGGGGGATTCTTTGTCTAGGACCGCATGTTCCCAGTCGTGGCACCTCCTGAGTAACAGAGGTTCTGGGTCCCACCCAGAGGTCTGGGAACCTGCCTGGCGAACCAGCCCCCGTGAGTGCCGGCTGGCATTTGAGGTCAGGTGTCAAGGCCAGGAGCCCCAGGGCGGGGTGTGCCCGGGGGCTGTGCTGTGGGTGCCCAGCCTCCTCCCCGGCTTGACCACTCGGGCCCCAAGCCTGACCTTGTCTCTGCAGGACGCCTGGAGTGACCAGGAGGGGCAGGTCCGCCTGGACCCCCAGCAGGACTACCAGCTTCTGCGGGCACAGAGGACCCCAGGAGGCCTGTACCTCCTCTTCAAGAGACCCTTTGCCACCTGCGACCCCAACGACTACCTCATCGAGGTGGGTGGCGGCCCACTTGCCGTGGGCGGGGTATAGCCGTCTTACGTCCTGGGGCAGCATCCCGGGCCCCTCACCCGCAGAGAGGGGGTCCCAGGGACAGCCGGGCAGACTCGGACCCTATGAATAAGCAGCTCTTGGTTGACACTTGGCTGGCATGTTTCTAGACGTGGGTCTCACCCCGAAGCCTTCTAATGGGGCCCCAAGGGACCTTGCCCTGGACTCTCTCCTCCGGGTCCAGCGTCTCCAGTGGAATTCTGGAGAAGAGTCTTCAGGAGACGTTGGTCTCCCGACCCGGCCCTGGTTGGCCAACGGGCTGTGAGGCTCCAGGCAAGTCCCTGCCTGCAAACGGAGAAAGGGGCCTAGAAGTAAGGCTCAGCCTGCGCCGTCCAGGGATTCACAGCCACAGTGGACCCAAGACCCTTCGGGAAGAACACCCAGTTTTCTCTTGCAGACAAAATCCATTTAACTTTTCGGTGCACGGGGACACCGTGGTCCTGGGTTCTATTGCAGCACGGCAGGGACGGCCTGGCCTGGGGCCACGTGAGGAAACTGAGGCCAGGCGGGGGAGCGCTTGCCTGGGGACACGTGGCACGCTGGGAACAGAGCTGGGCCCAGAAGTGCCCTGAGACAGACGTGTGGTGTTCCGGGGGCTCCGGAGCGCTGCAGTCCTTTATGTCTCAGCAGAAAGAATCCAGCCAGAGGCAAAGGGATGGATGAGAAGGGATGGATGAGAACAGGACGCTTGTGAGGCAAGAGAGCGCTGCACCCCGAGAACTGAGTGGGCTACAGTTTTATAATCAAAGGGAAAGTGGGGTGGGGAGAAGACCGTCTTTGTCTTTCTTGAGTAGACATCATGCTTCCATCATGCTCCTCCTCCCGGTCCGGGAGTTTTCCTGTCCCTACACGGTCAAGCCAGGTCCACGAATTATTGCTTTTTCTGTGTGCAGAGAGCATGCCCTACCTCACTGGGCCCCCTGGGCAGGGCTGTGGGTCTGGTGCCACCATTGTTTTATTATTTAGGGGGCGAGTCTCTTGCTTCCGCTGCCTGGTTTTGTTGCTAAGCAAGCCTGCTTGGTTCTGTGGTTGAGCAAACACTTCTTGAGTCATCATTAGCATTCAGGGGTCTCCCATATTCTTTCTACTTAGAATCCGCTAATGGGATTAACTATTTAATCACCTACTTTGTCCCTGTCACTTCCAGAAGGTCATCCTCCTGCTCACCTTCCCCATGGAGGAGGCAAGGGCAGGCAGAGCACCCTCTCCCCGAACTTTGCAGGGTGTCTGATGCCCACGTGTGCTCAGCTCAGAGCTTCTAGTCTGGTGCGGGGCAACCTCCCGCCTGGAGCTCTGAGACACCTGTGCAGAGAACAGCCCTGTTCCCAGGGCCCCGGGGGAGGTGGAGGGAACCATTGTTCCAGGTGAGCCAGCCTGGTTCCCAGCGACCCAGCAACGGTTAGTTGAATGGACACTAATCAAATGTATATTGAGAGAATTTAGAAAGACAAAATGCATTAATGCCGGGTGCAAACCGTGGGCTCTGGGTGTGGGTGGCCTTGGATTTAATCCCAGCCCAGTTCACACAGAGCCTGAAGGTTCCCGCCCTTCACAGAGTTGAGAACCAAGCATGTCACCGGCCAGGCGGGGGTGGGGAGGGACGGCAGCCTCCCCGGTCACCAGGAGCCCAGCTTGGGGCTGTGAGTGACGCGGCCCCGTCCCACCTTCAGGACGGCACCGTCCACCTGGTCTACGGGCTCCTGGAGAAGCCGCTCCGGTCGCTGGAGGCCATCAACACCTCTGGCTTGCACACGGGGCTGCAGAGGGTGCAGCTGCTGAAGCCCAACATTTCGCAGCCGGCCCTGCCCGCGGACACGCGCACCATGGAGATCCGCGCCCCCGACGTCCTCATCCCCGGCCAGGAGACCACTTACTGGTGCTACATCAGCGAGCTCCCGGCCGGCTTCCCCCGGCACCACATCGTCATGGTACGTGGGCCCGGGTGCGTCCAGTCCTGGAGAGCTGTCCGTGGTCCAGCCCCAAGCGTGCTCTGACCCTCATCGCCCAGCTCGTTCCCCACCCGCCCCACCCCCCCGGGGCTGCTGCACCCTGGCTTCCCAGGCTGGACCAAAGGTAACCGATGTCTTGATTTCCGCATCTTCCCCTGGGACGGGAATGGCTGTCTATCTATCTGTCTGTCTGTCAGTCCACCCTCCCCCTTGAAATAACAGCTCAACTCAGAGCTCAGTTGCTCTGAACACCCACCCGGAGCTACAACAATAATGACAATAGCTGCTGAGTTACTCTTTGTCTGGCTCCAGGGGAAGGGAAAGTGGTTTGCCCACTCCATCACCGCAGCACTACACACGCAGCCCTACAGATCATCGTCCTTATTCCCAGTCCAGGTTGTCAGGCCCAGAGAGCCTGCGTGAGCCCCCAGGGTCACACGGCGGGGAGCGCCGGGCCAGACTCACAGCTGCCCCTGCCCCCTAGGCTCAGGCTTAGCCTCGGGCAGCCTCCGTGTCTCTGCCCGGCCCCTGCCACTTTCACGCAAGGGCTGCTGGCTTCCCGTCCCCCTTACCATGAATTCAGGCTTAGCCTCGGGCAGCCTCCGTGTCTCTGCCCAGCCCCTGCCACTTTCACGCAAGGGCTGCTGGCTTCCCGTCCCCCTTACCAAGAATTCAGGCTTAGCCTTGGGCAGCCTCCGTGTCTCTGCCCGGCCCCTGCCGCTTTCATGCAAGGACTGCTGGCTTCCCGTCCCCCTTACCAAGAATTCAGGCTTAGCCTCGGGCAGCCTCCGTGTCTCTGCCCGGCCCCTGCCACTTTCATGCAAGGACTGCTGGCTTCCCGTCCCCCTTACCAAGAATTCAGGCTTAGCCTCGGGCAGCCACCGTGTCTCTGCCCGGCCCCTGCCACTTTCACGCAAGGGCTGCTGGCTTCCCGTCCCCCTTACCAAGAAACGACTTGCCCGGGACCCCTTCCCTCTGCCTTAGCTCTCACCGTGAGCTTCAGGCAGCTCCTGTCTGGTTCCTGGGTGGTGGCTTAGCTCCCAAAACCCTGGACTCCAGAGGCTCCCCAGAGATCACCTGGTGCAACCCTCCCATTTTACAGGTGGGCAAGCGGAGGCCCACTCGGGAGGGAGCTGCTGGGCCAGAGCCCCGTCAGTGGGGTGAGCGGTGCTGGGGTGGGGCGGCGGGGGTCTCAGCGGGCGCCCCTCCTCCGCAGTACGAGCCCATCATCACCGGGGGCAACGAGGCGCTCGTGCACCACATGGAGGTCTTCCAGTGCGCCGCTGAGTTCGAGAGCGTGCCCCACTTCAGCGGGCCCTGCGACTCCAAGATGAAGCCGGAGCGGCTCAACTACTGCCGCCACGTGCTGGCCGCCTGGGCCCTGGGCGCCAAGGTGCGTGCCCCTCCCGGCGTCTCCCCAGGGGGACTCCTCGTGTATGCACCGGAGGGAGCCTGGGGGGTCCCCAAAGAGCCCCCCTCCCCATTGCCTCTATGCTGCTGGAGTCCCACGGCTCATTGGAGCCACAGATGCCTCTCATCCTCCGTACCGTTCCTCGTGGGCATCACTCTTGTTCCCCGTCAAGTTCTGCTGGATTTGGAGGGGGCCGTGCATGGGGTGGTCCCGGGGCTGGCTGTCCTGGCTGCGTCCAGGGTCTTCCAGCAGCGTCTTCCCGCAGCTCAGCGGCGGGGCTTGGGTGGTGGGCTCGCCTGGGGGTAAGAGCGCTCCAGACTCTCTGACCTCAGGTCTAACAGGAGCACTGTGTGGGCTGGTGATGAGCTGCCCGTCAGTGGGGGCGTGTCGTTCTAATCTGGCTGCCCCTCCAACCCCCACTCCCGCCCTTGCAGCTCGGGCTCTGGCACGTGGGTGGGTTTGCCCTGGCCCTCCAGGGACTCCCCTCGTGCCTGCCCTGTCTGTCTGTCTGTCTGTNTGATGTTGGCCCTGGGGTGATGTCGGCGCTGCAGGGGTGATGTCGGCCCTGGGGTGATGTTGGCCCTGGGGTGATGTCGGCGCTGCAGGGGTGATGTCGGCCCTGGGGTGATGTTGGCCCTGGGGTGATGTCGGCGCTGCAGGGGTGATGTCGGCCCTGGGGTGATGTTGGCCCTGGGGTGATGTCGGCGCTGCAGGGGTGATGTCGGCCCTGGGGTGATGTTGGCCCTGGGGTGATGTCGGCGCTGCAGGGGTGATGTCGGCCCTGGGGTGATGTTGGCCCTGGGGTGATGTCGGCGCTGCAGGGGTGATGTCGGCCCTGGGGTGATGTTGGCCCTGGGGTGATGTCGGCGCTGCAGGGGTGATGTCGGCCCTGGGGTGATGTTGGCCCTGGGGTGATGTCGGCGCTGCAGGGGTGATGTCGGCCCTGGGGTGATGTTGGCCCTGGGGTGATGTCGGCGCTGCAGGGGTGATGTCGGCCCTGGGGTGATGTTGGCCCTGGGGTGATGTCGGCGCTGCAGGGGTGATGTCGGCCCTGGGGTGATGTTGGCCCTGGGGTGATGTCGGCGCTGCAGGGGTGATGTCGGCCCTGGGGTGATGTTGGCCCTGGGGTGATGTCGGCGCTGCAGGGGTGATGTCGGCCCTGGGGTGATGTTGGCCCTGGGGTGATGTCGGCGCTGCAGGGGTGATGTCGGCCCTGGGGTGATGTTGGCCCTGGGGTGATGTCGGCGCTGCAGGGGTGATGTCGGCCCTGGGGTGATGTTGGCCCTGGGGTGATGTCGGCGCTGCAGGGGTGATGTCGGCCCTGGGGTGATGTTGGCCCTGGGGTGATGTCGGCGCTGCAGGGGTGATGTCGGCCCTGGGGTGATGTTGGCCCTGGGGTGGTGTCGGCGCTGCAGGGGTGATGTCGGCCCTGGGGTGATGTTGGCCCTGGGGTGATGTCGGCCCTGGGGTGATGTCGGCCCTGGGGTGATGTCGGCCCTGGGGTGATGTCAGTGCTCGAGGGGTGGCTCTTGTGTGTTTCCTGCTGTCGAGTTTATGCTCAGCAAACAGAAACCCATGAGACCCCCTTGTGTGGGAAGCAGGGTGGTGATCTCGTTTCCCAATCGACCACAGCAGACCTTGGGTCCAGAAAGATGCGAAGGCTTCTCAGGAGGGAGACGCAAGCAAAGGGCAAGGAGGTATGAAAGGAGGCGTCTCAGTGGCCTGGGCCGCCTCGGAGCACGAGGAGCCGCTTCATGAGGGACGCCGACACGTGCTGCTTTCCTGACGGAGGGACAGGCTGTGCCTAGACGTGGAGGCGGGCAAGGCCAGCGTGTTCCAGAAAACACAGGTGGTCCAGCCCGGCTGCAGCGTAGGGGAAGCGAGGTGGGGGCCAGAGAGCAGGACGCCTGGATCACTCCGCACCTAAAGGTGGACACAGGGTTAGTCTATAGGAGGGCGATGCCAGCTGATTCTACCCCAGAAACAGAGCGTTTTCCTCTCTGTTTCACCGGCATCTTCCGCCGTATATAGGCACACAGGCTTCTTCCCCTCACTCACTTCTTTTTTAATGACATTTTTCACTTGTGTAAGTGAGGGACGGAAACAGTCTGAGGACAACCTGAGCTCCAGCCTGGGCCTAGTCTGTCTCTCCCTGGTGGTGTGACTAGGCATGGGGCACCCTCCCCTGCCCACGCTCACTGGCTCGCTCGGCTGCTCTGGGGCTGGGAAGGCTCGGGACCCAGCGCTCCCAACGGGGTGCAGCTCCGGGGCTGTGCTTGACCGGTAGCTGCCAGCGATTTCTCCCCAGAGCATAACTAATACCTTCTGCCACCACTGGAATTATCTGCCGCACACAGAGAGGACCATAAGTCAGCCTGGGCCTTAGCGTGGTACGGGATTTATGGCTCGTTTAAAACCTGGAAGCAAATGGATTTTCGAAAACTCCTTAAGCGTCAAGGAAGTCTGTCTCTTCCTGATTATCTGCTTGTATTTATGGCTCCTTCACCAAATATAAGGACACTCCTGTCACTTTGCAAAATCTGGAGATGGGTCTCTTTTCTATAAATATCAAAATTCCACAATTATTTCATTATTTAATCCCTGTCTGAATTTTAACCAATTGCATCTCCCTTTTTATTATTATCCTCTGATGTAATCAGCCCAGAGACACAGAGGCTGAGCTTGGACACTGCGGTGGTGGTGGGGGGCAGGGTGGCTGGTGCAAGGAGGCAGGAGGCAGAAGCAGAGGTGTCCTCGGTTCTACCTCAGAGCGGCCGAGCAGGGAGACAGCCCGGCCCCCGCAGGCGCCATGGGCCGCGTCCAAGCTCGGCTGCTTCCCAGCCCTGCGGTGCTCAAGCGGGGGCTTCAGCTCAGGCTCCGGGCCTCAGTTTCCCCATCTACAACATGGGACGATGATTCTTTGGTTCCACGGGCTCCCTGCCCGGCTCCCAGCTCTCCTGCGTATCCCGAGGGGGTGGGCCATGTCCAGCCTCTGCTCCACCCCCACGGGAGCAGCCCTGAACTGCTCAGGACCTCGCTGAGTGATTCCAGGCAGGGAGAAGGCAGGAAGGGGCCGCTAGAGGCCTGTGGCTGCCAGCATCTCCGGACCTCCGGCCATCAGCTTCGCATGACCACTGGGAGGCTACCCGGAAGGTTTTGGCTCGCCAATCAGCCAACGGCAAGAAGAGCTGGCAGGGGTGGCTGGACCGTGACGGGCAGAAGCGATAATTCTTTGGACAAGGCCTTTGATTTCGAGCCCAGAGAGGGACAGCAACTTGCCCGAGATCACACAGCACACTGTGGAGCAAATGCAGCCCAGGACGGTGTGGGAACCAGGGGGTGCTCCAGGACCTCGCCCCAGGAGCCCACCCTCCTTCTCAGGTTTCTCCTGGGACGTCCACCCGGGAGATGCAAGCCCTGGGTCGACCCTGCAGGACAGGAATCAAAGGAGGGAGCCCCAGAAGGATGTGCCTTAAATACTTCCTGCTGACTTCACCATGCAAACCCGCGCTCACCTGCCCGAGAGGGGCGGAGGCTCCTCTCTGAGACCAGCGTGCCCTCCTCTCCACCCTAACTGAGCGGTTCATGCTGCGGGTGGATTCCAGCTCAGGGCCCTGTGAACTCGCGGGAAGAGCATCAGAGCGCCTACCCAGCCCTCGGAGGGACTGGCCTGCTTCCCAAACCCACGGCAGGCATCTCACCCCACCCGGTTCAAAGCACCGCTTTGGGTTTTCGTTTGCTGCCTTAGTTAAGTCTTCCCAGAGCACTCGCCTCGTTTTCGCAGAAACAATAGCTCTTTCTCTCCCTGTGGGAACCACATGGGGCGTGTGAATTGGCCTTCCGGTAACCATGGAGTCTGCCTGGAGTAAGCGGGTGTGGGGACAAAGGCAGGGGGCAGCAGGCGTGGGTGCCCGGCACCTCCTGGCTGAGGGGGCTGGGGGTCACGGTGCGGGGCTGGGGGCCAGGGCCTCCGCTCACCTCCGTCCCTCCCCCCAGGCCGGCGCGACTCCTCGGGCATCCGCCTGTACTACACGGCCACGCTGCGGCGCTTTGATGCGGGCATCATGGAGCTGGGCCTGGTGTACACGCCCGTGATGGCCATCCCCCCGCAGGAGACGGCCTTCGTCCTCACCGGCTACTGCACGGACAAGTGCACCCAGCTGGTGAGTGGCCGGACCTGGGGCAGGGCCTGGCACCGCCCGCTTCCCCTGCTGAGGCCCGAGGTGGGCACCAAGGGCAGCAGCTGTGACCTCGCTCCCCCCCCGCCCCCCGCAGCTTCTGCAGCCTCCCCCAGCCCCCTGACACCAGGGAGCCTTCCTGGGGGCTGCGTGCTCCCCCTCCAGCAGTGACTGTGGGCCCCTGTTTAGTGGTGGGGCTGGTGGTGAAGAACCCGCCGGCCAGTGCAGGAAACGTAGGAGCCTCGGGTTTGATCCCTGGATCAGGAAGATCCCCTGGAGGAGGACACGGCAACCCACACCAGTATTCTTGCCTAGAGAACCCCCATGGACAGAGGAGACTGGCGGGCTACAGTCCATGGGGTTGCACAGAGTCGGACAGAGTGAAGCAATTTAGCATGCACGCGCTTAGTCCACACCCGAGCCAGAATTTAAAATACTCGTTCAGCTATGAGTGGGGTAGGCATGCATTCACCGCGGAAAAACGCAGGTAGTGCAGCTAACCACCAAGGCCCCCTCAGCCTCAGCTCTTGCCTGGCTGCCAGTTCTTGGATCTTTTGAGTCCTTCTAGATGTTTTCCCTGCTTGTTGCTACAAGCCCATTCACGTGCACGCTTCAAAACAAATTGAGCAGTGAAGCTTCATCCGTGATTTGCCCTTTAACTGGCGTGCAGCACGGATTCAGTGGAACTTCATCACCTGAGGCCAGCCAGGTGGCCCAACGCAGAGTGTAGGAGGGAGCACTGGGCCCGGGGGCTGCGGGGGCAGGTGGGCCCTGGTAACGTCAGTCTCCGGAGCGGAGGGAGGGCCTGAGATTCCAGAGGAGCTAAAGGGACTCCCCAGATTCTGGGCCCTCCGTGCCCCCTGCCTCCCCCAGTCCTGGCTGGGGCTGGCCTGCTCCCTCATCTCCAGCATCCAGGCTGCCTTAACTTCCCACTGATGGGAAGAAACCCTCCAGGGAATTCCTGTGCACTTGGGAAAGGGGTGTCGGTGGATTCTAGGTGAGCAGCTGCCATGCACAGGGATGTGAGCTTTCATGCGGATAACTCTGGCAAAATGCCCCCCAGAAAGCCCACTCAGCGCTTTCTTCCCCCACAGAACTGGGGTGTGCCCAGTGCCCCAGACTTACCCACCCACCCTGTTATCAGTGTCTTAGCATCTCAGTCACTTGGGAGAAAAACATCCCTGTTGTTCCATTTGAATTCCTGTAATTATAGAGGTAGGCCTCCCTGGGAGCTCAGCTGGTAAAGAATCCGCCTGCAATGCAGGAGACCCCGGTTTGATTCCTGGGTCAGGAAGATCCGCTGGAGAAGGGATAAGCTACCCACTCCAGTATACTTGGGTTTCCCTGGTGGCTCAGCTGGTAAAGAATCCGCCCATAACGCGGGAGACCTGGGTTGGGTCACTGGGTCGGGAAGATCCCCTGGAGGAGGGCATGGCAACCCACTCCAGTGTTCTTGCCTGGAGAATCCCACGGACAGAGGAGCCTGGTGGGCTACAGTCCACAGGGTCGCAGAGAGTTGGACTCGACTTGAGCAGCCAAGCCCAGCACACGTTTTAGAAGCTGCGCGTCTTGGCCCTGACCTCGAGGCCATTTGCCCTTCTTTTCTGTGAATATCTGCTCGTGACTCTGTCCAGTGCTCCCGGCAGGTGGTCTGTCTCACTCCGGTGGTTTCTCTTTGGCGGGTGTCACTGCTCGGTCCGCTGTGAATGCTGGAACACCCTCTCCCGTGTGGCCCCCCGCGCTCTCACAGAGCCAGCTGAGTGTTAGTGTCTCCACCCAGCAGAGGAGGGGCCTGGGGCCCGCGGGGGCCACGGTGCCTGCAGTTGCAGGGCGAGGAGTCAGACATGGGCTGCTCTGCGGTGAGGTTTACAGCGGATTTGTCTTCCCAGTGAGTGGATCCCCTGGGATTCGTCCTTTGCGGGGGAGATCCTCGAAGTCTTAGGCAAGCAAGGTGCCCTTGAGACAGGGCTGGTGGGCTGCGTGGGCCCCGTCAGCGTCCATGGCGGATCAGCTCCGTCTGAGACGAGGCTGAGGAACTGTGACCACATGAGCGTCTGACCCCGTCCCGCGTCCCCGGAGCACGTGACGCCCGGCCGTATGAAGGGCCCGGGACAGCCACCGCCCTGTGCCGGCAGGACCCGGGTCGCGTTGACCCACTGGCCTGGAGCACACCTCTCGCCAGCCTGGAGACGAGGGCCTGCCCACCTTCTCCCCCCAGAGTCCCTAAGTACTTTTCGGCACAAAGCAAGAAAAGCTCAGCTTTCTGGTTCCCCTTCAAATAGTACGTTCTTTGGGAAAATCGCATTTCTGTGGACACTCGTGGAAGGGCTTCTGGAAGAAAGGGGGTCTCGTCTCCACTGGCAGACCCCCGAGGACCACAGCTTTCGCAGTCAGAAGGCCATCCTGGTCTAGACATCTCGGCCGAAGACAAGCCCAGAAGAAGTACTGTGTTGTGGACCGTAGGCCCCAAGATGGCAATCCCCCTGCACCTGTCACAGAGCTGGACTCTGGGGTCCAGAGGGGAGAAACCCAGGGCCCCACCCGTCGGCAGGGGCTCTCAGTTGCCACACGCGGCCGTAAAGTCTCCCGGACCTTCGTCACTGCGAGGGGGCCAGAGGGTGCCTGTAATGACCAAGGGCGGGGCAGTGGCTGGCGGACGGCAAGCTGGAGGCACGGAGGGGGAGTCGGGTGACCCGCAGAGGCGCAGCAACCTGTGGTCTCGCGGTGACGGAGCTGCCGACCGTGTGGACGGCACGGCGTTGCGAGGGCAGGGAGATGATGCGTCGTGGAGACAATGCTTGATGAGTGTAACCGGTTTAGGACGCTTTCCGCCTAAACCGCGTGAGCGTCACGTCAGGGGAACTTCTGGGATGTCGTCTTCTGCCCTGGGGGTGATGTGAGGGCTGGCCCGTCTCCCCGGTGCTGCCCGGCCATGGCTGGGATGGTCAGCGCCTCGCCCGACCGGGGAGATGGAAGGGTCAGGGCCGCCCACGTGCGAGGCCGCCCGGGGGCTGGGGCTGCAGCGGCCGTGAGCCGGGCCCTGACCCCACCCCGCCCCGCAGGCCCTGCCCGCCTCGGGGATCCATATCTTCGCCTCTCAGCTCCACACGCACCTGACGGGCCGGAAGGTGGTCACGGTGCTGGCCAGGGACGGCCGGGAGAGGGAGATCGTGAACAGGGACAACCACTACAGCCCACACTTCCAGGTAGGGACCCCCCCACTCCCCTGCCCCTCCCAGGGCGCCGCTGGGGGCCCTGTTTGACCTTCTCTGCCCCGACACACACCCTCCATCCCGCGCTCCTTCTCCTGGGCCAGCCCACACCCCAGAGGAGCTCACCCAGCCAGTCGCGTCCCGTCGGGGGCTTGATGTAGGAAGGGACTCCGGTGGTGGACTATGGCGTGTGGCTGACTGTGGGGTTTGGGGGACCTGGGCAGCTTGACGGTGACCTCCGTCTTAGATGACCACCTTCTTGTCCTAATGCCCTCCCAGCCGGAGGCCTCAAAGGTCGTGGGGCAGTGGGTGGGGGGGCACTGGGTCTGTAGGACTCTGAAGTCTCGCCTCGTCCTTGCCCCTCCCCACCCTCTGCTCCGCCCACCCCAGGAGATCCGCATGTTGAAGAAGGTGGTGTCTGTCCACCCGGTGAGTGCCCGGTTCGGGGCAGGAGCCCGAGGTGGGGGGAGGGCAGGAAGGATGGGGAGGGCAGAGGCCGTGGAAGGCCTTCCAGAACCGGGTCTGAGACTCCCCGGGGCTGCACAGGGGGCCCTTGGAGGGGCCAGGGCCAGAGGGCACTTGGGGTCGCAGGCCTCCTCCCGCCTGATCAGCTGACCACAGACCCGAGGGCTTCAGGGAGAGATGAGGGCCGGGGGCCCACCGGTGGGTTGCTGACCATGCAGCAGGGCATTCTTGGGCAGAGTGGGGGCTCACCCAAATGCAGGCTGTGACGTCTGACCAGCCCCACGCAGCCACCTGCTGGCCTGTGACCCCAGTAGGAAGGGGCCAGAGAAGTTGACTGGTCATCATTCCCTGGGGACACTCCGGAGTGGTCCTCATGTGTGGGAACCCCGGGTTCCTCAGGGGGGGCCGACCACCGTGGTCACTCGTGGGTCTGGCCCGGCACACCTGACCCCAGGTGGGCAGGTGCTGAGGATGTCTGTCGGCTCGGCCCTCCAGGGAGACGTGCTCATCACCTCTTGCACGTACAACACGGAAGACAGGAGGCTGGCCACCGTGGTAAGTCACCCCAACTTCTCGCCCCCTGCCACAGAGCATGGGCACCAGTCTCAACTCCGCTAGAGCGCAGGGCGGGGGTGCCCCTCCCTCATTCACGCACTAAACCAGCGGTTCTCAGGCTGTGGGCCCTGGGCAGCATTAACATCCCCTGTTCAGCTCAGTTCAGTCGTGCCTGACTCTTTGCAACCCCATGGACTGCAGCACGCCAGGCCTCCCTGTCCATCACCAACTCCCGGAGTTTACTCAAACTCATGTCCATCGAGCTGGTGATGCCATCCAACCATCTCATCCTCTGTCATCACCTTCTCCTCCTGCCCTCAAACATCCCCTGGAAACTTGGTAAAAGAAACACATAAACGCATCAGTTCCTCCCCAGCCTGGGTGGTGACTCCCAGAGATGTCTGGTTTAACCAACTACCCGGGTTATTTTGATGGCTGCCCTAGTTGGAGAGCCACGGCCAGAAACGTGTGTCAGCACCGGAGCCCGTGCTGGGGAGAGGCCGGGGGTGTGAGGGGGCTCCCTGCCCCCAGGGAGCCAGACCAGCCACACCGGCCTCCTGCGCCCGGCAAAGGTGGAATAAAGCTGAGGACGCGGGGGAGGCGTCGCTCCCTGAGCAGCACGTGCCGGCAGCACGTGCCGGCTGACTGCCTTGCTGTCTGTCTCTCCGGCAAAGGCTGAGGACTCCAGGAGGGCAGGGCCTCTGCCCGCTCAGAACACCGTCTGGCCTTGTGTGATGAGTGGGTGCATGCGTGCGTGCGTGAGTGCAGTGACCACACGGAGAGGCTGGGCGGCAGCGTCTAGGAGTAACGCAGATGCGCCGGTGCTGACGGGCGTCTTCTCCGCCCTGCAGGGGGGCTTTGGGATCCTGGAGGAGATGTGCGTCAACTACGTGCACTACTACCCTCAGACGCGGCTGGAGCTCTGCAAGAGCGCCGTGGACCCCGGATTCCTGCAGAAGTACTTCCACCTTGTGAACAGGTGATGGCTCCTGAGGAGGGTGCCCACTGTGCCTTCCATCCCGGACACAGCAGGGGAACCCCAGCCCCAAACACTCCCCCCAACCCCAAACCCTCCAGGCCCTGGGAGAAAGCAGGGAGCCCAGGAGCACGGTGAGCAGGATCCTGGCAATCAGGCCCCCACCCACCTTGAGGTGCTGATGGCAGGCATCACCAATTGATCCCATACTTGCTTCCTATCGAGTCTGGACTTGGCCTGAGGAGCCCCTCCACTGAGCCCTGGAGCAGCTGTTCCCAACTGACCCAAGATGGCACAAGAGATGAAGCCCGTCAGTCGTCGTGGCGGGAGGCAGCCAGGGCAGTGTGCTAGAAGGCCGGTGGGCTCGGGGCTGCTCCGGGGACCCTGCCCCTCTGCAGGGAGGCATCACCGGTGCCTTGCTGGGCTCCCCTCCGCTCCCCTAAACCCCACTCTGGGCGGCTCCTTCTCGCACCAGGTTCAACAGCGAGGAAGTCTGCACCTGCCCCCAGGCCTCTGTCCCTGAGCAGTTTGCCTCCGTGCCCTGGAACTCCTTCAACCGCGAGGTGCTCAAGGCCCTGTATGGATTCGCGCCCATCTCCATGCACTGCAACAAGTCCTCAGCCGTCCGCTTCCAGGTGTGCTGGCTGTGTGCGTGTGCGTGCGTGCGTGTGCGTGTGCGTGCGTGCGTGTGCGTGCATGTGTGTGCGTGTGCATATGTGTGTGCGCGTGTGTGGTTTGTCCGATTCCAGGTGTGGTTGCCCTTGTTGGGGGGAGGGTGAAAGTGGCTGGGGCCGGCCAGCTGCCCTTGGCCATGCAGTCACCCTTTCTGGACACCCAGCAGCAAGTTCTGAGTCTGCCCACCCCTCTGTGCCCCAGAGCCACCCAGAGGATCCCGGGGGTGACAGGGCTCCACCCCCAAAGAGCTGGCAAGAAGCACTCACACAAAACAAGGATCAGGTGGTGAGAGACGGGCCCAGACAGACAGCCAACAGCCTGCAGTGGGGAGCTGACAGCTGCCCCCGAGGGCGCCGCCCTCTCTGGGATGCCAGCACACCATGGGACTAACCTCGGTGGTGCGAGCGGGGCATCCACAGCCTCCCCCGGAGCCTAAAAACACAGCTCTCAGGGGGCGGGGGCAGTGAGCAGTCAGGGTCTGAGGCTGCAGGCTGGGTTCCCTCCTCATCCGGGACCCACTGGGATCCAAAGACATCTCGCTCACCCCCTGTGAGCTCCTGGCGGGGCCCAGGGCCCGGGCCGGGGCTGAGTTACGTGGAGAAGGCTCCGTGGCCTGCAACTCTGTGAGGCAGCTTTCCTGGAAGCACTGGGAGCTGGACTAATCGCTAATCGAATGTTCCCAGCCCCCAAGGAGGGGGGTGCCAATACTGGATCATCAAAGAGCAGTTTGGGGCTGATGTCTGATGTGGTTGAAATACGGCGTTTGACGCAGCCGAGTGTAAGAGTCGGGGGGTGGGGAGAGTGGCTGAAAACTCAGGCTGCACCCAGGCCTTCTGACTGCTTCCCCGAAAGAAGTGAAGGGTGGCTGAGCAGGCAGTTGGGGGCAACCCTGGCTCCCAGGTGAGGACCCCCAGCTAGCAATGGGTGGTTTGCTTTGGTTTGGGAGAAGGTGAGTTTAAGGGCAGGAACCCACGGGGTCACTGGGAGAAGCGCCGGGGAGGCGGCCCCCACCTCGCCCCCAGCCTCCATTTACCTCCTTGTCCCTTCCTTGCAGGGAGAGTGGGATCGGCAGCCCCTGCCCGAGGTCGAGTCCAGGCTGGAAGAGCCCACCCCTCACTGCCCGGCCAGCCGGGCTCAGCGCCCCACTGGCCCCACTGTGCTCAGCATCGGGGGGGGCCAAGGTTGAGTGTGGGCGGTCTCTCCGCTCCCCTCATCATGCTGTCCCTGTGGGCTCCCGCCAGTTCTGTGCACCCCCTCCTCTGTGAAGACCCCCATGGAACAGCCCAGCACGGAGGGCTGGACCAAGCCACCGCCTGACACCAGGGTCCAGTCCAGCTTTCTCCCCCGGGGACCCCCTGCATGGCTGAGAGTGTCCCGTGACAGCTCTTGCTGACCCACGAGGACCAGGTGGACCGAGACCCTTGCACACCCTTTGACACAGCATAAGGGTAACCCCGCTTGGGCGTCTAGAGTCCAGTGCCCCGGGAGCCCCTGCCATCTCACTGTAGGGGGCGCATCTCCTGGGACACGAGCCATGATCGGAAGAGAGACTGGCCCCGCGTCCCCAGCCCCCGCGGATGGCGGTCGGTGTTGGCGTGTGACGGGTCCAAGCGCTGTTGTCCTTAAACGTGTCCCTGCAGACTGGCTCGTGTGGTGCGGTGGGCGTCTTCCCTGCCGATGGGGGCAGGACAAACCACTTAGCTCGTTAGAGACGCGCCTGGGGAGATTGTTCCGTTGCAGGGTAAATAGATATTTTCGCCCACCTAAAGGGAAACCCTAAGAACAACTCTCACCACCAGCAAAAGATGCGATGGCAAAGATCCAGACCAGGGTCTGGGCGCCAGCTCCCTGGGAGATGGGGTTAATGGCCCAAGTCACTTCTCTCTGTGGTGGGACAGGTGGCTAACAGAGCAAGCAAGCCCTGAAATCAGATCTGCGATAGAAGCCCGGCCCCACCTCCCTGGCCCGCGGCCTTCTCATCTGTCAGATGGGGCCACTGTCACGCAGGTTACTGAGACGATAAAGCTCATGCCTGGGGCCGGCACCTGGTCACAGCTAATGCAGGGTGGCGCTGCCTGGCCAGGCCCTGCCTCCTGGGTCATCTCCACCTTCCTTCCCTCTTAGCTGCCGCTCACTGCAGGCCAAGTTCAACTCTTTGATGGTTGCTGCCGGGAGTGACAGATTCAGCTCTGTTCAGCCAGTTCAGCAAAAGGCTGTGAAGCTTCTAGGAGAGAGAGGGTGATGGATGGGCCTCTGGGCCCCCCTTCCACCCCAACAGCCATCCGCTAAGCGCTGCTTCTCCTCCTGCCAGCCGCTTCATCACAGGCAGGCCGGGTACTGTGCCCCGGGTCTTGTAAATCACGCTGCCCCTGCCGTAAGTCAGGCCGCCATGGCTGTGAGCCTCCAGGCCCGAAGGAGGCTGCAGAGTGGCCGGCCTTCCGTCACCCTAGAGCCTGGCGTGACAGCGGGGTGAGAGGCCCCTCCCTGCAGGGCCCAGGCCTCGGGAGGGCAGCTGCGGCTCCCCGAGCCTCTGGCCTTGACCTTCTGGTCCAGGAAGTCCCCTCCGCCTGAGGGGTCCCATCAGCCCAGAGCTCTGGGAGAGGGCTTGAGGGTGACCCGAGGCCTCACCCCCACCCAGCCCCTCCTGGGCACCGTTACTCTGTTCCCCAGACAGCTGGGAGGCACCAGTGGTGTCCCGCCCCAGCCTCACCCAGGGCCGAGACTCTCCGCAGGAGAGGTCACTCCCGCCCCTGGGTTCCCTGGAAGACTAGTGGCAACCAGGAATCGCTCCCAGTTCCAGAACCTTCCGCCGCCCCCACTGACATGCCCTTCCCTGCACTCAGTGTTGCCCTCGGGCTGGCCATTCTCTTCCTTGGGGGCAGCGTGTGGTTTGCCTCACGCACACGCCACTGCCGACCCCCGCCCCACCCGGAGCATCCCAGCCGGGGCATCTGTAAGATCAGGTACTCTGGTTCTGCGCTAACTCACCCAGGAACCCAGGACACGCTGTCTCTGCTCCCACTGACAGATGGTGAAACTCAGACACCTAAAGCCAGGTGCCGGGGTCACCCAGAGTGCGTGGGGGGCCTGGAGGTGACCCTGGGTCTGTGTGATGGCAGAACCCAGGCTCCCGGCCTCCAGCCCCCCCACGCCGAGGATCTGGGCATCAGCCCCTGCGCCTCATGGGGCCCAAGCCAGGCCAGCCAGGGAAACGTCTGCGGCCAGGGCTGGGTGCCCCCTCGGCCCTGCGCACTGTCAGGCTCGCTCACCTTCTGCAGGATGGGAGTGATGCGGGCCCAGTGGCCGGGGGTCCCGTTCTGCCCTCTGCTGTGTGGCTCTGGCCAACCTACTCTCCTTCTCTGGGCCTTTCTCTCCCTGTCCACCCATGGAGAAGGCTCCCCGGGGTCCCGGGGGTGAGGGCTGCTAGGCTGCCAGGCCTGGAGAGCCAGACTGAGGTGTGCCCGCACGCGCTCAGTGTGGAGACGGCCTGGGAGGTGGGGGTGCCCGGCCTGAGCTGGTCCCAGGATGCCCCAGGGCTGCACTGCCCGCTGGCCGTTAGGCTCATGTGGCTGTTGAAGCTTAATTGTAAATAAATTAAAATGAGGTAAAATAAAGCATCTGGGTTCTTGGTCACACCAGCCACATTTCAGATGCTCCTCAGCCACAGGTGGCCAGGGCTCCGGTACGCAGGGCCAGGATATCAGCCCATCCATTGGCCTGGAAAGCTTCCCCGGGCTGCTCCACACCAGGGCCGGGTCCCACTGGTGGGACGGGAGCCGCCTGCACCCCCACCTCCCGGCCCCCTCCCCGTGGGCCCAGCGGCCCCGCTCTGGCCGTCACTGGGCCGAGCAGCTGGACCGGCCAGGGCTGCGGGGCTTGTCCATGGAGGCATGTGGGGCGGGACCAGTCTCCCAGGCCAAGGGAGGTCCCTCCGGCCCCCAGTACGACCACGAGAAACGCCCGGCAGGCCTCCCAAAGCCTGGGGAGGGCCACGCTTGGGACCCAAACGCTGTGACTCGCCCAACCATCCAAGGCTTTCTCAGTCCCTGCCCTCCACCCGCCCCAATCATGTGCTGCCGAAGGAGGAACAGCCCAGGCTTCCTGGGGGCGCCTGCTGCCCTGGACTCCATTGCAGACGAAAACACAGCTTCTCCTTACGGCAAGGAAGCCCTTTCCTTTCCCCTCGGGCTCTTCCAAAATGCGCTGAAACCCGCCAGCAGTCTCCCTGGGACACGCACGGTTCTATTTTCTCCAGTCTTTCCCCTCCCCCCTCCCCCACGCCCACCCGGCCTCACGTGTACATTCCACATTTCCCTGCATTGTCAGGAGGCTCTCGGATGGAAGGCAGCCCACTGTGTCCCGTGAATCCGTGGCCAGAGACTATGGTGTTTGTGGCAGACTCCTAACGGGGGGACTCTGGGGGCCTTCAGGGGAGGGTTCTAGACCCGATCCCGGGGAGCTCTGCCCCGTTCTGACGTCACGGCCCAGGAGGCCTTTGTGTGGGGACCCTCACCCTCCGTCCCCTCCCAGTCGAAGCCCGAGGCTTTGCCCTGGGCTTCCATCCTGTGCCTTCTTCCTCTGGAGCCGAGAGGACGAGGCGGTGGAAAGCAGGAGTGGGGAGGCGAGAGGGGGCAGTTATCCAGGGAGAGGGCTGGGGGGCTCACAGGGCTGGACGGGGAGCCCAGCGGGGGAGCCCAGGGGCAGCACCCGAAGGCCCAGGCCCCGCGTGCAGGGGGCTGACATGTTGGCAGCAGGGCCCCTGGGCCATGAGGAGAGACGAAGGATAAAGCCGAGGGGAGCAAAGGGGGGACCCAGCACCGGCCCACACTGGGTGTTCCGAGGCCGCTCAGGGTTGCCACGAGCCCCTGAGTTCTGGGAGCGGCCGGCAGGCCGCCTGGAAGGCCGTCCAGCACCCCTGGAGGAAAGTGGACAGGCCCCTGCCCACCCGACTCTCCCGCTGGCCCCTGTCCAGCAGCCTGAGCAGGCTGTTAGGGCCCATGCAGGCCCCTGGGCCCTGCACCCAGCAAAGACATTTGCACCAGTCTGCCGGCACCTGGCCTCTGGTCTCTGCATCTGGCAAGGATGAGGTGCCAGCTTGCTCAATTCCTAGACGCCTACAGTCTGGCACGGGACCCACTGCCCTCCAGCTGTTGGGAGCGGTGGCAATGACATTTGGCAAAGGAGAGGCGCTGGGGTGAGACTTGAGTGCACCCAGCTCCATGGCCATTCTCAGAGATGCCCCACTGGTCACACTGCCCACTCCTCCCCACGGCCCCCTGGATGCCCCGCTGTCTCCTGCTCAAGCAGCCAGGCGAGGACCCTGGGGGGAGTGAGCGTCTTGTTCGGGTCCCAGGGCTTCTCCCTGGCAAGCCTCTCCAAGTTTATGCTGCGTGACCCCAGGCCAGATGGCTCAGCGCTCGCCTGTCCATCAGGGACGTGGGCAGGAGGTGCTGGCCACCCTAGGCAAGCCCTTTGTTCCATGGCGTGGGGGTGAGCTGAACACTTGTGCCCGTTTGGGCCGGATGGCACCTCTGTGGGGTCCAGGAGGGTCCTCGGCAGGTGGAAGCTCCCCTGGGGGGTCCCCAGGCTGAGGCAGAGCAGCAGAACACAGGGCCTGCCCCAAACCCCTCTGCAGACGGTGGAGGAAGCCCAGCCAGGCTGACACCGCCCGGGGCACACGGCAGGTCACGCCCACCCCGGGACCTTTGCACGTGATGGGCTTGCTGTCCACATCACTCAAGTCTGACCCCAGCGCCTCTCCTTTGCCAAATGCCATTGCCACCGCTCCCAACAGCTGGAGGGCAGTGGGTCCCGTGCCAGACCCGTGAGTGTGAGGCGTCTAGGAATTGAGCAAGCTGGCACCTCATCCTTGCCAGATGCAGAGACCAGAGGCCAGGTGCCGGCAGACCAGTGCAAATGTCTTTGCTGGGTGCAGGGCCCAGGGGCCTGCATGGGCCCTAACAGCCGGCTCAGGCTGCTGGACAGGGGCCAGCGGGAGAGCCGGGTGGGCAGGGGCCTGTCCACTTTCCTCCAGAAGGCACGTTGCCGCCCTGGGTCCCTGCAGGAGGCTCAGAGCTCCCGGGATGGCTGGCCGCACGCGGGCTGAGTCTGAGCGCGGGGGGCCCCCTTCGCCTGTGTCGGCTAACAGCCACGCTCAGCTCAGCCTGTGCAGAGCTCCAGGCGGTGCTCAGAGCCACATGCTCATTCTGCCCAGAGAAACCTTCCAAAACTAAGGCAGCAGAGCGTTTCGGGATTAGGGTGAGGAAGGGCTGGCCCGAGGTCACCGGCTCTGAGGGGAGGGGGCGATACAGTTCAGCCTGAGGCGATGGGGAAGCTTGCTGGGGTTCAGACCTTCCCAAGCTGCCCTTTGGGGTGAAGTGGGTGAGTTGGGGGGCGGCCCATGACAGCCTCTCTCACGTTGGTGGCCAGGTCATTTCCGGACGGTTATTTCTCCCCAGCAGAGGGGCAAACATAGCGAAGGGAGCGTGAACACTTCTGTTTCCGGGCTCAGCCCCTGAGACAGGAGACAAGGTGGAACCTGGGCCGGACCACCCCTCGTCCCGAGCCGCCCCCAGGGACGGCTGCAGAGTGAACGCGTGCTCAGGCCCCGTCGGGGGGTCCAGGGCCGAACCACAGGGCCCGGGGAGCAGGCCTGCTCCCCTCGTCCCCCTCCACAGGGTCCCCTCGTCCCCCTCCACAGGGTCCTCTCGGGGTCCCCCAGGCCCTCCCATGGGCAGGGGGGCTGCAGGCGTTACTGCGCCCGAGGCTCGAGAAATACAGGCCCCGGCCCTCCAGACTGCAGTCTGATGAGGGTCCAGCTATCCCCCCAAAGTCCACCCGAAGCACAAACATCTTCCCGTGGCCTTGACTTTATTAGCCTGACCTGTTTCAGCCCAGTCCCCGGAGAGGGCTATGTGGTATGGCACCTCTGAAACCAGCCCCAGGCCCCCAGGACTTTCTACACCCCAGTCACCACATGGCTTCCTGCCCGCATCCCTTCTAGCCCCCTCCCCAGGGGGCTGCCTGGGTCCCGGGGCCGGGCACCAGTCCCCACAGGGAAGATGGGAAGTTCTGAAGGCCCTGGGATGGGGACAGGGGGTCACCCCATTCCAGGCCCTGGGCTAGGGCCATCCCCAGGGACTAGGAGAGCGGGGGACGCGGCCCAGAGCTCAGTCAGACAGCAAGGACAGAGGCCATCCCTGCAGGAGAGAGCTGCCATACAGGCCCCGGCCCTCCAGACTGCAGTCTGATGAGGGTCCAGCTATCCCCCCGAAGGTCACCCGAAGCACAAACATCTTCCCGTGGCCTTGACTTTATTAGCCTGACCCGTTTCAGCCCAGTCCCCGGAGAGGGCTGCGTGGTATGGCACCTCTGAAACCAACCCCAGGCCCCCAGGACTTTCTGCACCCCAGTCACCACACGGCTTCCTGCCTGCATCCCTTCTAGCCCCCTCCCCAGGGGGCTGCCTGGGTCCCGGGGCCGGGCGCCAGTCCCCGCAGGGAAGATGGGAAGTTCTGAAGGCCCTGGGATGGGGACAGGGGGTCACCCCATTCCAGGCCCTGGGCTAGGGCCATCCCCAGGGACTGGGAGAGCGGGGGACGCGGCCCAGAGCTGAGTCAGACAGCAAGGACAGAGGCCATCCCTGCAGGAGAGAGCTGCCAGGTCCGTCCCTAGCAGCACCCCTTCGTCTCTGACATGGGGGTCGAGGGGCCCTGGGGGAAAAAAGGGCAGGAGAGCACAGTGGGGGTGCCCCAGCTGGGACCCTCCCAGCCCTGCTCCTGGCGCTGATTTCAGGGCTGGGAACCCTCTGGGGGCTTCCCCATGTGAAGACCCAAGCAGTCAAGGCAAGCAGAACTCACTTTCTGGATCCACCCCTCCTTCCTGGGACCTGGGGCCAGACCGTCCTGCCAACCCTGACCTCAGGGACGGTGCCAGCCTGGCACGCCTGCTCTCTGCCTTCACTACTGTGCCCGAGGCAGACAGGACGAGTCAGTCCCACACCGTCCCCCATGCCAGACACACCCGCAACTCTCAAGGCTGCCCCAGGCAGCCTGCCCATCAGGGACAGAACACTGGGTGAGGCTCTTTGTCGACCCGCTCTCATGGGGGCCTTCTCCTTTTCAGAAGCTCTCCAGGGCTACAGGCATGGTCCCTGAGCCCAAGGCATGGCAGGTGGCTTTTAAGGGGGGGTGGGGGGGACTCGAGAGCCCCCTTTGGTCAGTGACCACAGAACAGGACTCCTGGGTCCTCTTTCCACCCCCTCTGTCTGCATCTTTTGGGGGCCATGGTGGTAGTTCTTGACGAAGGGCAGGGGAGCCCACATTCCAGCCAGGGTCCAGATCCTGGCGCCCGGGGTGGCGCAGGCCCCTGGGAATGGGCAGCATGGGCCAGCGTGGCAGGTCACCGACCCCCAGACCAGCTGAGTCTCTGCCAGCAGCAGTCAGTAGATCCCCTTCACCCTCTTGTTGTCGGGGTCAAAGGGAGACTTGAGGTGGGCCTGGGCAGCGTAGGTCACCCCCATCCTCTCCAGGGCATAGTCCCCACTCTTCACGAAGTCCAGGGAGACCTGGTGGGCACAGAGGAGGGCCCGCGGTCACTCGGCGCCCTGTAGGAGCCGGGCTAACGCAGCCTGCCTCCCGGGACGGGGCCGCCGTCTCGCCCTCACGCCCCTCCCTCCTCTGAGTCCAGGAACTGCTCTGAGTCCAGGAACTGCCCTGAGTCCTGAGCAGGTGGACGCCGTGTCCCCGGGCCCCTGAGCTGGACCTGAGCCCCCGGGGTCCAGGGGAGCCGAGGTCTGGCACCGGGGAGAACCTCTCCTGCTGGGCAGCAAGCCCCAACCCATAACCACCGGTCCCTGGGAGGCGGGCAGCCGGTGGGGGAATTTGGGGGTTTATAAATGACGGTTTGGGCAAAATGCTTAGACTTTCTGCACACAGAACAGGCTGCCCCTTCGCCTCATTGCTGAGCCCCCAAATGAGCCTGTGTACGTGTGTTTCTGCGTGCACATGTGCCGGTGTGGTACGTGCGGGTGCACCTGTGTGAACACCGAGTGTGCACACACAGCTGTCTGCACGCACACGGGGTCTCCAGCTCCAGGGAGCGGAGCGGGTGAGCTCCGCGCAGAGCCCCTTTCTGACCATGAGAAGCCTGGAGCTTCCAAAGTCAGATTCTGTCAGAAAGAAAATATAGAAACAGCCGCTGGCTATGCCTGGGGAAGACAGGGCCCCATCAGTCAGTCCCCTCACTGTTCTCTGGTCCCCCAGGCCCAGCCCACCCAAGGAGGGAGGCAGGGGTGCTGTGGAGAGCCCCAGAGGGACCGGGGCTCCCTGTGGCAGTGGGGGGGCAGGGGCGGGGGNTTCCTCCAGATGGCCTCCAGCCCGAACATGGGAACTTTCCTGGAAGAAGCAATAGACAGCTGGGACCCCAGAGCCCCCGAGGGGGATCTCTGCGCTTCGCCTGGCCGAGGAGAAAGGACAGAGCCCGCCAGAGCACGGGCTCCACTGCTCAGGGCTGGTCTGCTATGAGCCCGCGTGCCCCTCACCTGGCCCCCAAGGATGCCGGCGCTCAGGCTTCGAGCACATAAATGGACAGAAAACATCAAAACCAGGACCTGACTTTTGTGTCTATGGAGGCAGGGCCCACGGATTTGGAACTGTCACTCAACGTGTTTTAATCTGACGGCTCTTCTTTTTTGACAGTGTGATGCATCATTTATTAAAAGCATTTTTCTGTGTTACACATAAAATATGAATGCTTGCCGTAAAATTTTTGAAAATTTAAAACAGGGAGGAGGAGAGGATTAAACTGCAATCACAGAAACGCCAGAGCCAGAGCGTTTGGTGCAAATCTTGGCCGGCATGCCTTCTCCCGCCCGAGTCCTGATGCCTGCAGGCAATGGGCCGGGTGCTGGGGACGAGGGGCCCCAGGGCAGCAGCACCGTGTGGCCCTGCGGGTCCCGGGTGAAGCCGAGGGCCACGCCCGGTGGGCTGTGGGGCGCGGCTGGGCTGGTTACGGTAACCGGAAGTTGGGGGACCTTGCACTGTGCCAGTCTGGACAGGGTCTGGGGTGCCTCCCGGCACAGAGGCCGGGGTGACAAGGTCTGGGGCCCACAGGTGCAGTGGATGAGGGTGGGGTGGCAGAAGCTTTGCAAACGCATCCTGTCTCCTTTGGTCCTGTCCTATGGGGGTGCCGTGTCCACGGGAGGAGACAGCCTCAGAGAGGCGCCCTGCCCTGCCCAGGGCCCCAGGGCAGAGCTGCAGCATCCTGGCCACGTCCCTCCTTGGGCCTGGACCAGCCAGGCCGCGGCCCCAGGCGGACTCTGCATCCCGGCGGGGAGCCCCGGGGAGGTTGGAGTGGGCCATGGTTGCCGCTGTCCGAGGCAGCGGGCGCTTTCTGGAGGGCCAGGCGGACCCCTGCCCTGTCTGCACCCCAAACCAGAGCCGAGTGCTCCCCGGGAGGCGGACAGTCAGGCAGGCAGACNGCTGTCCGAGGCAGCGGGCGCTTTCTGGAGGGCCAGGCGGACCCCTGCCCTGTCTGCACCCCAAACCAGAGCCGAGTGCTCCCCGGGAGGCGGACAGTCAGGCAGGCAGACGGGCAGCCCGACGGGGTCCCTGGGAGGAGCTAGGAGACGACACGCCCCAGCTCTGCTCACCCTGCACCCCCAACCCCGGCAGCCTCGAGGCTTCCTTTGAAGGAGCCGAATCTGGGAGAAAGGGCACCGCTGGTGTCAGTTCAGCCCCAACCAATGAGACCCAGAGACCCCCGCTGCCCCGGGGGATGGCTGCTACCCAGCTCCACATCACCCCATCCACGTCCTCCAACACCAGCACCAGGGACCCGGGAACCACGCGGGCTCAGCTCCCAGCACGTAAGGGTGGCGTGCTCAGAGCTGCCGGGGAGGTGGGGGTGGTGGGCCTGGGCAAGAACCGCTCTGCCCCTGGGCCCCCGTGGTCTCCATCTCTCAGGGGGGCTGGTGGCCCCAGCCTGGCCCCTGCCCCCGTGGGACCCCTCCCGGGCTGTGGGGAGGCTCTGACCAGGACACGGGGGTGATGGCAGCGCCCTGATGGGCAGCCAGATCGGGGGGCCTCAGCTGGAGCCTCCCACAAAGTCCGCGTGGCTCGGCAGGGCTCCCCCTTTCAGAACACTTGTTCGGAGGAACTTCCCAGCCGTCCAGTGCTTAGGACTGCAGCTTTCCCTGCCAAGGGCACGAGTTCAGTCTCTACGTGGGGAACTAAGATCCTACAAGCCGCATGGTACGGCCAAAATACAGTGAAACAAAACCGGTGTTTGCTGAGGGCTGCCCTGTTCGCTCCCTACCGACCACCACCAGCCTGCGCCCGGTTTGGCCCCCGGCCTGGCGCTGGTGGGATCTGAGTTGCAGCCCCAGCTTCAGAGTCAGGCCCGCTGTGGACCCAGCCCTGCCTCGTGGGTCCCAGTCTCTTCCCTGTCGGGGGCTGCGGTGCGCGCTCTGGGAGAGGGTGCCTGGCCTGCCGGGAAAGGGGGAGCCCAGAAGCACCGTCCCTTGCGTCTGCACGGCCGCTCCCCGCTCCCGGCGGCCCCAGCCCCAGCGGTACTCACTGGTCCACGGTGAAGCCCAGCAGGCGCCGGCGGAGGCCCTCGGCCTGCTGCTTCTCCAGGGCCTCGCGCCCCAGGAAGGGGATGGAGGACCTGAGCTTGCAGGTGAAGGCCAAGCCCGCCTCCAGGGGGCTGTCGTCAGCCCGGAGGTCGGCGTGCCACTGCCGGTAGCCTGGAGTGGGGGAGGCCACGGGGTCACTGTCCAGCGGGGGGGGGACTTCAGGAGACGCCCCAGGAGGTGCCCTCCCGTCACACCCTCAGCCTAGACCCTCTATGACTTGGGCTTTCTGGGGGCTGGGAGCATCGTCAGTCACAGGAGGCGCCCTGGCTGAGGCCCAGAGTCAGACCGCCCCCAGCAGCATCGCCGCACGTCTCTGCCATCAGGCTGGAGGCCCTGGGGAGGGGGCAGCAGCGAGCGGGGCAGCTCGGAGGGCCCCCTCCTGCTCTGATGGTCTTCAGCTCTCTCTGGGAATCTCAGCGCTGAATCCAAATCTGGCTCTGGGCCCCCTTCCCCTGGGAGATACCTTCCCCTGCGCCCCCCTCCCAAGAGTGCTGGGGTCAGAGATCCCAGCACCGTCCCCAGGCCTGCGTGGAGGACCTGGTACAAGGCCAGCGAAGGGGCTTTGGGGAAACAGTCTGTGTGGGGGTACGGGGCGGCCCAGCACGGCAGGAAGGGGGCACGGGGATGTATGGGGGCCGGTTAACAGCCTCCAGTGAGGCTCAGTGCCCCACCTGTGGTCCAGGACCCGCACACACCTTTCTCGATGCTCAGGGAGTCAATGGCCCGGTAGCCGGCATTGACGAGGCCGTGCTTGGCCCCCGTTGTCATCAGGGCCTGGTACACGGGCAGGCAGGATGGCCCCGGGGCGTGCAGCTCCCAGCCCAGCTCCCCCACGAAGGACAGCCTCACGGCCCGGACCTGGGGGCGAGGCATAGCTCAGACCTGGGTCAGGGTGGAGGTCCGGCCACCACTGATGGGTGGACACTTCCTACCGCCACCACTAAGAGCCAGACCTGGGCCCAGGCCATAGGCCACCAAGAAATGGGGCCTGCCGGCGAGAGTCCTCAGGAGCGCTCTGGAAATCTTTGAAAGGAAGAGATGTTGTCATTGGGAGTGGAAGTGGACACATGGTTCCCAGGCCACAGCTCGTCTCCTAAATGGCCGTAGGAGTGTCCTGGGGCCTCAGTAGCCAGGGGCAGAGGACCACGGAAGTGAGCTCTCTGCCAGGTCTAAGGCCCAAAGTCCAAAACCAGGGTGTGGGCAGGGCCGCGCTTCCTCTGTAGGCTCCGGGGCGGGACCCCTCTCCCAGGGGTCCAGGCTCTGCTGACGTGGACGCGTCATGCTGGCCTTGGCCTCCATCTCCTCCGTGTCTGTGTCTCCCCATCTCTCATCAGGACACTGGCTGCTGGGCAGAGCCCCCCCTTACCAGGGTGCTCTCATCCCGCAATCCTCACCGTCATTGAATCAGCAAAGCCCCTGATCCCAAGGTCCCATTCCCAGCCCGGGGGTGATGTCTCTTTAGGGGGCCACCATTCAATCACTGCGGTGACCTTGGGCAAGACTCTTGGCCTCTCTCTGGCCTCTAAATGGGGTCAGGAGCCTGGCTTTGTCTGTCTTAGGAAGCTCTGAGGGGGTGTCCCCGAGGAAGGATGGGGAGTCGACCACACCACGCATGAGTCACAGCAGCCACACTTAGCGCGTTCGGGGCAGTGGGGGGGGGCAGCCGGGCATCGGGCGAGTGTCCTGGTCGCCCCCCACCCCAGTGGACCTCGGTCAAGAGCTAGGATCTGAAGGCAGGCACAGACTCTGCCCCCCAGGTCTTGAACTTGGAAGGACACAGCCAGACGCCAAAGCCGGCTCCAGGGCAGGCGGGGGGAAGGACCCTGAGGCAGGCACAGGCCAAGCTGGGATCTTGAGCGGGGCTTGCTGTCACGGACAGGCCTTCCAGACAAGCGGAAGAGCGGGTGCAAAGGCGCAGAGCTGGAGCAGGTGTGAGCGTTGTCGGGATGGGGGCGGGGGGGACAGGTAAGAAGGCTGGCGGGTGGGACCGGAAGGGCCTCGTCAACGGGCTACTGACTCTGGACCATTAAAGCACTGCCCAGGGCTGGTTTCACAGGCCAGGGAAGGGACCGCGGGCCCCCAAACTGCATGGAAGGGAGGGTGCCGTTCACGGAGTGCCTCTGGGCCTGCTCTTTGTAGAAATCACTACAAAAACTTCCTGGGGATGAAGCAGAAACAGGGGCTCCGGAGACAGCCCGCCTGGCCCGCACACACAGTGCTGACGTGGGGACAGCCAGTCTCTAGGCGAGCGTGTCCTTCAGCCTGAGCCCCGCGCCAGCGGCCACGTGGAGGCCACAAGCAGGAGGTGGGGACGCCTGGCCCGGCAGCCTGGCTTTTCCTGCCCGGCTGGTTGGTGCTGGGTCATTTGTACACTCAGCACCTGCTGGTTGCTTCCAGCCTGCGGGCAAACCCTGGAACGTCCAGTGTCCCCGTGTGCGGGGCCGGGCACGGCCCTGTCCAGGTCACAGAAGGGACAGGGGCCGCAGCCGGCCACAGTGCTCCCAGAGGCGGAGGTCCCGATCCCGTCACAGCTCTGAGCCCGAGGGGCTGCCCGGGACAGCTCCCGCGGCGATAAGGTCAGCAGACGGAGAGTCAGCCCGCTCTCCCGAATGACTTGAAATCACAGCCGCTGGGAGGGCTGGATTCAGAAAGCTTTTGAAAGGCACACATCTGCTCTGAGCTACCATGTGCCCGGGGCCTCTCAGAAAACTCAGAATTGACTCAGAAAACGTACTGTTGACATTTCCCTGCTCCCCTGGTGCAAGCCGTGGGCCCCTGACAAAGACTGCCTTGTCAACGGGGTTCTAATTTTAGACAGACCACGGAGGAGCTTGGGGCTCAAAGCCAATCTCATTTCAAACAGGAAAAAAATCATTTTTAAAGCTCACCCATTAATGGGCCCAGGACTGCGGGTCTTGTCAGACACACTCCCTCCCCCAGTTAAGTCAGGCTCTTGAGTGAATTCAGGGGTGGGATGGAGCGACCTGGCCCTTTCCCCAGCTCCCAGGAATCCAATGAGGCTGGGAGGCCGGCCGGCACGCTCTCCATTACAGCCCTGTGGGCAAGCCCAGCTCTCAGGGGGCTGAATAAATACTTCACGGACGGAGTGGGCAGACAGGTGCAGAGGGCCAAAGCTCTGCTCTCCGGCAAAGCAAGGGGAAGGCCTTTGGGATTCCTAGTGACTTTCTAAGTTGCCAGCATCACTGGTTCTCGAGACGTCTTGCATTTTTCTCTACTGAAGCTGTGGATTTAGGCAAGCCCTGAGGTCTTCTGAGAGGATCACAGACCGAAGGGACAGGCCAAGAACAAGTGCATCTGGAACTTGAGCTCAGAGTCAGCCAGACCCATGGGCCGTCCTCCCCCAGCCCCAGTGCCCACATCTGATAAACGGGGGTGAGCATCAAGCTCATGGAAGTCAGATGCCTGGTACCGCCATCTGCCAGTCAGCATCAGCTTGGATCAGCTTTAAAAGTGAGCCCCAAACCCTCTGCAGAATAGCCCCACCCTGTTCTGGGAACCATGGAGAGTGGAAGGGGCCACAGAGATGCAGAAGGTCAATAGGAAAAGCCTGAAACTAGGTTTTGTTTAAACCTTTTGTGACCCTCAGGACTCCCCTGATACTGTTAGAACCAACAAACCAAGTCAGCAAGGTTGCAGGATACAAAATCAACACTCAAAAATCAGCTGCATTTTTATACTCTAACAACAGACCACCTGAAAAGGAAATCAGAAATAATTCCATTTACAGTCACACCAAAAAGAATAAAATACTTAGGAATAAACCCAACCATGGAGGTGAAAGACTTGCACGCTGAGAACTACAAAACATTGCCAAAAGAAACGAAAGACACAAATGGAAAGACAGCTCTTCTGTTTGTGGGTTGGAAGACTGAATATCACCAAGATACCAATATTCCCCAAAGTGATCTACAGATTCAGTACAATCTGTATCAAAATCCAGTGGCGGGGTTTTTTTTGGCAGAAATAGAAAATTTCACCCTAACAGTTACATGAGTGACCTCGAATTGCCAAACAATCTCACAAAAGAACAAGGCAGAAGACTCACTTCCTCATTTCAAAACTTATTACAAAGCTGCCACAATCAAAACAGTGCTACTGGCATGAAATCAAACAGACAAATGGAATAGAAAAGAGAGCCTAGAAATAAACCCTCATGTAAATACCTAGTGACCTTTAACAAGGGATCCAAGACCATTGGGACTTCCCCGGCAGCTCAGTGGTAGAGTCTGCCTGCCAATGCAGGAAACGGAGGTTCAGTCCCCGAGGGGGGAATATCCCTTGGAGGAAGAAATAGTGATCCACTCCACTATTCTGGCCTGGGAAAACTCCATGGACCTTGGAGCCTGGCAGGTTACAGTCCAAGGGGCCACAAAGAGTTGGACAGGACTGAGCGTGCACGCAAGCCTGCATGCCATGACTGTCCCATGGGGAAAGGACAGTGATCAGCAAACGGAACCTTCTCTTCTACCACATACACCATACACGTGCGTTAACTCAAACCGAGTTAAAGCCCAAATGCGAGCCTGCAGACTGTGAAAGCCCTAGAGGACAATCCAGAGGAAAGCTCCATGACTCTCGACTTGGCAATGATTTCCCAGACGTGACACCAGAGGCGAAGGCAACGAAGAGCAGAATGGGCTAAACGGGAGTCCAGCAAGTGTAAAAGCTTCTGTGCGTCAGAGGATGCGACCCACAGTGAGACGTCAACCTGCAGAACTGGAGAAAACACCCAAAAGTCCTGTATCTGATAAGGGGTTAACATCCAGAATATATAAAGAACACCTACAATTCAACAAAAACAAAACAACCTGATTAAGAAATGAATTAAGAACTTGAATAGACATTTTACCAAAGATCTACAAATGGCCAACAAGCATATGAAAAGATGGTCAATGTCACGAAACATTAGAGAAATGTCAACCAAAACCACAATGAGATATGACTTCTAAGCCATTAGCATTTCAAAGAAAACAGAAAATAATCAGTGTTGGCAGGAATATGAAGGAATTGGAACCCTTGGGCGCAGTTGGGGGAATGCAAAATGGTGCAACTGTTAGGAAAAACAGTATGGTGATTCCTCGAAAAACTAAAAATAGAACTGCCATATGTCCAGCAATCCCACGTCTGGGTGTATATGCAGAAGAACTGAAGGGTGGAACAAGGAGCTGGTCTGGTCCCGTACCTGCCGGGCAGAGGCAGACAATAAGCAGCCGGAGCAGGACTCTGTGAGGTCCTGCTGGGAGCAAGGTCCTTCCCTGCTCGGCTCAGCTGGGCCACCACTCAGGAATCACCAGGGCTTGCCCAGGGCCCATCTTTCCAGTGCCTGGGTGACCCACAGAGGAACGAACTGCTTCTAAAGCTAGCAGGAGCCCCCTGTGAGGCTCAGACTCCTGGGCTGGGGAACAGAGACCTGATGGGACCCCTCGGTGAAAAGAGACCGTGCTGGGGGTGGCGAGGCAGAGCCGTCAAGCCCCAGACATCTGCGTGAGCAGCACCCCTGCCGTGCGGCTCTCCTCCAGCCTGAATTTGCTCAGAGACCCTCTCCTCACTGGAAGGACTGATGCTGAAGCTTTAAGTTCAATACTTTGGCCACCTGATGTGAAGGGCTGACTCATTGGAAAAGACCCTGAGGCTGCGAAAGACTGGGGGCGGGAGGAGAAGGGGACGACAGAGGATGAGATGATTAGATAGCATCATCAATTCAATAGACATGAATTTGAGGAAACTCCGGGAGTTAGTGAAGGACAGGGGAGCCTGGCGTGCTGCAGCCCATGGAGCCGCAAAGAGTCTGACACGACTTAGCGACCAAACAACAGCCAACCTCTCCTTTAGGAAGA